CCCAAAATCTAAAGCTCTACAGCCATATTAGACATGAACCTACAATTTAAAGTGGATTCCGAAGCACTACAAGCATCCATAGCCCCACCGGGTATCGAACCCGAAACCTGTGGCATCGAGCGCCAGGGCGATAGTCAATAGGTCATCAACTAAAACTAAACAAACATCTAAACTGTACAAATAACAGAAACGAAGAAGTATATTTATTCTTCTGAGTTTCTGCTAATTTATTTAAAAACATAAGAATTTAATTCATTTCAACAACAGTATTTTACTGCTACCCAAATAAAAGATCCATTTATAATAAAGTCATATTATTTTATAATTGCAAAACAAAATGGTTATGAAAAGAAGTGTAAGAAATGAAATAATGAAATGTATTTTTACATTGTATTGATTAAAATGTCAAAGCCTACTCTGAGTTAAAATTAAATTTTTTTTTTGGAGCAATACTATCCTAAAATTAGTCAATGATTATAAAAAAATGTATTACTTATAAAGAATCTTAATTAGATAAGAAATTCTTGAAACATAAAAACGTTAAATTAAATTGCCATTAAATTAAAGTTCTAAAAAATACTCAGTTCTAAAGTTCTATTGATTAAATTAAAGATTCGTTTCGCTCCGTTCGCAATTGGAAGTTTCGCTCCACTTTATTACGCAATAGTTAGGAAACCTCCGTTGAGAACGACAACTGATCGAAAATGGCGTCCAAATTGAGCGCGAAAATCTCTCTGAAGCCAGATCAAAATCAGACTTGAAAAATGAAACTGTAACTAATTTGATAATTTTCAACATTATAATTTTAACAAGCAATATAAAAAATTTTTTTTAAAAGTCAATTCCTACTTTTTCAATTCCTTCTATTAGCTCACACTCTCCCTATATATATCTTGTTCAAATTTTCAATCGTTCATAAAATACTTTTTAATCATCCACACAAGTTCAAATAAATTTTTTTTTGAACTTGTAGTGGATGACACTGGATGTTAATACAGCTTTTTCAAATATTAAATTCAGTAATTAAATTTAATGAATTAATTTTAGTTATTTTAGATTTAAGTTGCATATATCTACCAATAGATGGCGCCAAATAAAATTTAAAAAATGAATGAAAATTATTTATATAGGACTTTCTGCAGTATAGTGAAGAAAAAAAGTAGGAATTGACTTTAATTTTTTTTTTATATTACTTGTTTTTCACTATATTGCCGAAAAGTCCTTTACAAATAAAGTTGAAATTTTCCTCTTACATCTGGCGCCATCTATTATTAGATACATGTAACTTAAATCTAAAAAGAACTAAAAATAATGAATTAACATTTGAAAAAACTGTATTAACAAGTGTGTCATCCATTGCAAGTTCAAAATAATGTATTTGAACTTGAGTGGATGACTTAAAAGTATTTTATTAACCATTGAAAATTTGACCAAGATATATATAGGGAAAGTGTGAGCTAATAGAGGGAATTGAATGAAAAAGTAGCAGAACATGCTATTTAATGTATTTTAATGTAATGTAAAACAGGGAATATTATCCAATGAAATCAAATCAAAATAACATATTTTTATTTTGCTTTTTTAAAACTTCTAAAAACTAATAAAATGATTTTCTTTCTTTCCAAAAATAAAATACTTTACGCAAACACACATATATATATGTATGAACATATTTTAATATATATTAATTTAAGAAATGATGCCTTTGAAATAAAAATATATGTACATATTCATGTCAGATCCTCGGTTGATTCGACAAAAACAAGTTTGTAAGATGGAGTTTCTAGCTTATGATTCATCGGGGATGTTTGGTGAGAAGCTGAAAGAGAAATAATAACTATAAAACATCAACCAATTACAAAATACACGATGATGAATGCTTATAGGCGTAGATTATTTAACTGTTTTCTGCTTATTTTATCATGAAGGATGTTGGAGTAAAGATCCACTACCCCTTTCCGAAACAAACTACAGTAACATAGCCAACAGGGAAGAGTTCAAGATTCATAGATTTTTCTTTCAAGAACGGGCGGCCCTTACGTTAGACTTTGGGCTTTACGCTTTTTTGTTTCTCTCTTTGGACTTTGGAACTGATAATGGGAGAGGGAGAAAGAAAAAAGGGAGTGTGTAGAGTCGAGAGAAGTGTTCCAAGGCAGTATGGAGGGTACAAAGACCCTTAAACGAACTGGCTTTTAAGATGATTTTGTAAATATTTGTTATAGAATTGAGTTTTGTGTGTTATGTGTTGCAATTTTAATAAATATGACGGAATAAAATATCGTTACTATTTTAATAAATAATTCAGTTTTACCAGAAAATAACACTGAATCAAGACCACGTCCATATCCGGCCCTAACTTATACTGCTAGTAGAAAACTAGATAGAACAACAGTAGGAGAGGAGTGAAATTTTTTTCACTTTAACCTACAATCAAACCAAAGATTTCAAATTTCAGACTGAGAGCACCAGCCAAACAGAAGACTATTATTCAATTTGAAAGTCCTACAATACATTCAAATTAAATTTCATTCCACTTTAGAATGTGCTACAGTTGTTGAAAAACGTATTATTTTTTTAACAATTAGAAAACTTAAAATTGCAGATCTGTAACAGGTGTCTGTAAATAATTCAGATTGAAATATTCAAAGATATGTCTTTAAGAAAGGACGAAGAAGAGCATAGAATTAAATTTTCTGCAATGAAATTTTTTCAGCGATAATCGTTTTTTGGTAAATCTAAAATAAACTATCATAGAAATTATTAACGATGCTATTATTGAGATTGCAGCATTTTTCCCATGGAAAGAGTTGTAGAATTTCGTTCCCAGGAGAGAGGAATGTATATTCTTTAACAAGTACATAATAACAATCTATCACTCAATTCGACAGCAGATAACCAGTGTCGTGGATCCGACCATTACGACCATTACTCCAAACACTGCTTAGAATCATAATTCGTTGTTGCTTTGGGTCGATTGTGAGCTCGCGCGCCACCCACTTTGAACAGAGCTTTCGCATATCCAAATATTCATTCACGATATGTCCAACACGTTACTTTGATATCTTTAGGGTCTTGGCTATCTCAATCAACTTCACTTTACGGTTATCAGAAATTATTTTGGGGACTTTTTTGATGTTTTCGTCGGTAGCAGCCTCTTTGGGACGTCCATCGTCCTCGGTGCTCATTTCGCCTCGTGTAAATTTAGCAAACCACTTCTCTACGGTTGATTTTCCTGGTGCAAAGTCCGAATAATGTTTATGGAGCCAAGCCTTGGCTTCAATAGTATTTTTTTTCGCTAAAAAGCAATGCTTTATTAACACCACGAAATTCCTTTTTATCCATTTTTTCAAACTAACAAAAGTTGCTTCACTAAAAATGCTATAACTCACATACTATTAGTACTAGAGCTGTCAAATTTATACACGTGTCTTTTGAAGGTTAGGGCTAACTTAAACTCATATGGATTTAATACTATCAGCGCCATCTATGTGTCAGCCTGCGAACTTTTCAGCCCAACTGTTATAATGTGACTCATGAAATTAGCAATTGCGTGTGCAACCTTCACAGGTCAAAACAATTACAGTTGGAACATGGACTACACCATGAGTTGTTGAATTTTTAATTGGTGATAGTCCATGAGCTGAGAAAGTGTCTATTGCAATGAGAAGTGAAGAAAGCTAACCCTCCCCCCACTTGACGGATTTTCTTAAAGGAAGGTTTTTGAAGAAGAAGCAAGGGAATTCTAGAACGAGACGATAAGAAGTGTTTTTTTCTTTGAAATAACTGAATAGGCCGCAGTTTCTGCCTGTTCTCAGCTGAAGGAGAGAAAGAGAGCGACAGGTCGACAAGAAATGTTATTTTTCTCTTTTTCTGAAAGTGACTAACAGGCTGTAGATTCCGCCTGTTTACAAAGTGAGTCCCTTGTGGTTTTGTGTAACACGCCGTGTGAAAATTAAGGTCTGCCGCAGACCTGGTGAAATAGATTCGTCGTAGACTTGAGAACTCTGAAAATCTCCGTCTTTGGAGTGAACTGTCCTTGTCAATCAAATTATCTTTAATTTGCATTTTTTTATAAATAGAGTTTTGTATATATCTATATCTATATATGTAGGATTTGTTTGTGTGCTAATCACTAAATGGCGACACATCACGGGATATGTGTCTATCAAACCTTTTGCCATGTAGTGGCAGCATTCGACTTTGAACTTTGGCCCTGGGAAGAGGAGAGAAGCCCCGTAGATGGGCGCGGCAGAAGAACGCTAGTCGTCGACGAGGGTGGAGAGAACTGGAACGGGCTGCGTTAAGCAGCGAGAGAAAATGACTGTTATGTAATAATAATTGATGTAAATATCGCTGTACATATAACCGTGCTTGATTAAATGTTTGTTGTCGAGAGAAAACCAACGCTTCTTTAATGCACTTGGAAATACACCCCTAGGCAAAACACTCCGGCCATTACACTTTTGCTAGACTGGTAGAAAAGTCTACAAAAACTGTGGGCTCGGCCGGGATGAATCTATTGAAAGCGGCTGAAGTCTACATATATATATAGTTCTTGTAAATAAATATTAAAGTGTTCTCATAAATCTGAAAGTGATCCTTTTCTTGAAGCCGTTATAGGTCTAGTATAGTTACAAGATCACGAAACCTTTTCGGCAAATTGCTGTAAAACCCTGCTGTTCTTTAACATGATGAAAATCTTTACGAACTTGTTCAACTGCCAGTGTTTGAATGTTGTTGTTGTTGTTATCGTGTCCCTCATGGAAGGAGGGAAGAAGGGGCCAGCTTCTGTTCTGATGGAGCACCCATAGGTAGAAGTCTGACTTTGGCTCCGTGACGCTCTTACAGTCATAGGAGACCGGGACCTACGGCTTAAAGTGGATTCCGAACCACTACAAACATCCGTGGCACCGCCGGGATTCGAACCCGAAACCTGTTGCACCGAGCGCCAGAGCGCTGGACACTCGGCCATTCAGGTCCCAAATTTGTGAATGCCAATTGCACGCGGTGTTCCCAAGTGGTCACCCACCCAAGTACTGGCCGCGCTCAATGATGTTTGACTTCGGTGATCTAACGAGAACCGTTGGCTAATGTTTGAATGTAAAATAACCAATTAATTTAAACAAAGCTAATCAATTTTATTTTTATTACCTTGCTAACTCTTTGAGACACGACTCATCGTGTTGATAGGACTCTGTTCTGATACAGAATACCTGGAAAAATATATTTTATATTAATTTCCCTATTAGATTGCATTTGTATTTCTTCATTTATTACAAAAAAATAATTCTACAAAAAATTGTATACATATAACTCTAATTTAAAAATATTAAGTAAGTAGGATACATAAATTTCAGGTTCTAAAGAAACATGATATGTAATTAATCTAATATCAATCATATTTTAAAACTTTTAAACTAACCCACCGCTTCAGAGCCAAAAATTTTAAAACTTTGTATGGAAATTTTTTTTTTTTTTTTTTTTTTTTTTTTTTTTTGAGGCTAATGTTAAATCAGGTTGTAAAACAAGAAAAACAAACAAGAAAATTAAAATCTATACATAAATTGTTTCATTAAAATTTGGCAAAATTGTCTATTGTTCGACTTTACGTAATAACTTCCAATTAAAGAAGGTATATTTAAAACATATCACGTTTACTAGCATAAATGAAGACCTATTTATTATGCATTCACTGAACTAAAATAATGATAATACTCTAAAGCAGGGGTCTCCAAACTACGGCCCGCCAGTGTCATCCATCCGGCCCGCGACAGGGAATAGCTTATTGTTGCTGTAATAAGTTGGATAAAAGAATACAGAATGATAATAACTCGGTTTTATTGACTTGCTAGGTAAAGCTTAATGATAAGCATAATACGCAGAAAATTTAACTTAAGCATAACAACTAACTGGAAATTATAGATAATGGCAGAAAAATTAAAATGGTTTTGGCCCTTGGTACTTACTGGAGTAAACAGTATGGCCCTAAGGCTGGAAAGTTTGGAGACCCCTGCTCTAAAGTATAACTGAATTACTGCCAATGGAACAATTTAGAGCAAAAATACAAAAAAATATGGTTTTTATTAAAAATACCAATAACTCATTACTAAATTAATATATTTCAAATCTTTTAGTTCAATGTATACATAGCATTATTAAAAGCATGTATTTAAAGCATATATTTTATGACTTTTATTGTACTCACGTATCTATAAAAGCATTTTCTTATCAACAAATTCTTTTAGGTTTAAAAGAGTAGTACTAGCATTAATATAAAAAAATATTTGTACTTTAAATTTACTTATAAAAATTTTTATATTCTATAAAAATACTAGCAATATATTAATAATTAACAAAGTACTATAGAATAACTTAAGACAAAAAAAATACATTTTAATCATATAGTTGCAACGCTAACTAAAATTAACTAACTAACTAAAATCCCGGCACTTCAATTCATGTTGGACCATGACCTTACCTAAGGCTCGTTTCCACCGAGGGGAGAGGCGTTGACCAATCACACGCCTCGCCGCGTTGTACCCCAAACCCGCCGCTTGAAGTTGTCCAATTTTCAACTCTCAAATGCTTGCAGCGTCATGTAACTTGGATTGAGCCAATAGTAGATCTACAATCTAGTGTAAAAGTAACTCGAACTTCACTAGGCGTAAAGCGATTTCCGATGCTTCGATGCGGACGGGTCGAAAAAACTTTCTTCCCTGCCGCGTGACGCGTCGCCGCCTCACGCCTCGGTGGAAACGAGCCTTTAAGGCGACTCCAAAGTCGTCTGTCTCGAGCTGTGGTATTCCAATTTGTAATCTTTAGGTTCTTCAGATCTTCATCAATCCATCTCTTTTTTGGCCGTCCCCTTGAAATTCTTTGTGACTGTGCTATCGTCCATTCTCCCTATGTGTCCTAGCCATTGAATTGTTTGACTTTATATAATTTATGTTATCCTTATAATTGTAATGCATTAAATCTTATTCGTTCTTAAAAATGGAAAAAACTTCAATAAGTTTAACCTGCTGTTGTTGACCTTAAGATAGCTTTTTTTTATAAACCTCCAGGCTGAGAAGAGTTTCTCAAAACGTACTTGGGTTGCTCTTAAAGCAGTAACTGTCTTTGCTATTGGTTGTATTATTAATTTGGCGCTTTATCATTTAATTTTAGCTTTCTATCAATATTATTAATATTTCTTAGACTAGATAATTGAAATCGCCAGCAAACAATAGATTTCAAAAGATTTTTAAAAGATCATAATTACCTTTTTCTTCTGAGGATGTAGATGAAACCTGTAACGATGCAGATGATACATAGGAAGAGAGTTATAGTTACAATCCAACCAGGGTGAAGTGCAGATTGATAGAACTGATCACACCTTCCTTCTGTATAATATAGAAAAAGCAAGAAAATTTAATTACTAAACCTCTTTATAATTCCCTTCAATTATCTTTTTTTGCTCATTTTTATGCAGACAATTCTAATAACCTCTTCAAAATTTACATGATTATTATTTTCGTCAATTCATGGATTTGTGTTATCTCAAATTCGATTTATTTCTTTTATTTCTCTCATTAATGGTTTTTAGTTTAATCAAGTGGAAAAATAAGATTCATACTAAAGCTCCGATGAGGATAAAATATTTTTACATAGATAAGACAGAGGATAAAACACGGACACGAGTTATTTCTAATATTCAAAGTGAACATATTACCCTATTAAAAAAAGGCAGAGTATGAGCAAACGGTAAAGAAAAGATTGGTATGTACAAGGCAATTTTTTAATATTTTATTAAATCATTGAAAGAAGAAAAGGAATAAGCCTATAATACGTTTTAGAGCACAAGTAACTTTGAAGATTACAAAAGTGATAGTATGATAAGTGATTGTTAAAAGAAAAGGTCATGGCTTTTGAAAGAATATAGTCCAACTAAAACTCTTCATATATGCTATTAAGGTTATAAGTTTTTAACTTCACAAGTACAAACAGTTGAGTGAAGGCAAAAACCATTGATACAAAACGTAGGCAAGTATAGTATCTCCAATTTCATCATTATATATAATACAATTATATTCAATCCAGACAAGAAATTACGGAAGGATATCTTCTTCAGCAATATTTGAGTGCATTCCAAGTATTGAGGATGGCTTTTTAGTTCAGGTCTCTAATGGGATGAAACCATGGATTACATGCAACTTTTGGATAAGGAGATGTGATTATATATACATTTCTTTCAACATTCTGAAAGACAACAACTAAGCTATCTACCAAAACTGCTACTACACCACACCACCTTGCCTAGAGTTGAGTTGCCCATATACAGTTTGGGAATGATGTGGGTGAGAAGTCTGACTGGGCTCTGTGACGGTCTACAGTCATATGAGACCGAGACCTAAGGCTTAAAATGGATTCCGAACCACTACAAACATCCACGGCACTGCCGGTACTCGAACTCGAAACCTGTGTCACTGAGCACCAGAGCACTAGATACTCGGGCATTCAGGCCACTATTCAGCAAAACTGCAATTGAGCAGTATTGGTTTGGAAAACTTGAGATAAATCTGCTCAATCTCATCAGGCCCACTATTACAGACATGCCAGAACATGCCTTTTAAAATGGCAACGGTCGTGCAAATTACGGAGTACCTAAGAAGCAGAAACAACTCGCAACTCGTTTATTTTGCGAGACCGAGATGTCTTTTCCCATATTGACAGCATGCCAAAGAAAATCAGGGTTGTGATATTGATATGCAAAAATGGATTAATTTACATGTATATGTTCCAACATAAATTAAAAACTATAACACTTAGCAGTTCATTTTTTTCCTGAATTTATTATTTTTTTTTATTCCTAAATTTCATTTGGATAAAAATTATGGAAAAATTTTATTGATTTTTTTTTAAATTTAAATAAAAACATTTTTTAATTGACATTAGATGTTCTGTTATCCGATGGCACTAGGCTTAAAAAGTGACATGCACCATTAGTTAAGTTATTAAATAAAATTTAATAGAAAATTTACGTTATTAATTTTTACCCTCAATTTTTTTAATATTTAATTTTAATTAATTAAATTAAGTCAATTAGTTTTTAACAAAATTTCCAATATAACATTATTATAATCTTAAAAAAATAAAAAAGCAATAAAAGTTGAAAAAAAAAAAATAATTGAGAAGTCTTACTAAAGAATGAGTACCTTAATTTAGTCAATTTAAATTATTTAAGAAGAATTATTCAAAGTCTCAAGCATATAATTCTGCATAGATGTTTTTTTTTCTTAGTAAAATTTGCCAAAACAAAATTTTTTTATTTTCTGTAATTGAGCAACGCAGTGTTTTATATGCTAGTTAATCTGAAAAAAATGATTTTTTAATTTTCTGTCTTGAACTCTTACTTCATCATCAATTAATTTTAAAATTTCTTTTCGAATAAAAAGGACATCACCAACTGGCTTACAACTGGTTATATATATATATATATAATAAATTAGGATTAGATTTTAAAACCTTTATTTTTTAATGCTGGTCAATGGATGAAGTTAGTGACCCTTTCTTCAAACATTAAGACTTCAAACATGATGACTCGTTCGACTAGTTTTGAGATTTAGATGATAAAGAAGGCAGATTTTTAAATAAATAAATAAATAAAAAGTCATTGAATTGTATTGATGCAATTTTTTCAGCTATCATAATGCAGATTTCATTGAAAATTAGAATTGTAATGTTGTCAGGTGTTTGTGCAGCTGGATCTGGGTGTGGTTGGGTTGATACTTGAGAGAGGAGGTTGGGGAACTCAGTTTTATTTACAAGCACTACATATAAATGTAGTTTATTCACAAACACTACACGTACAATTAAAAAATAGATAATATTTAACACATTTAAAGACATCTAATTAAAGATTTGTAAAAGGATTCCACTTCTAAGCCGAAAATAAAGATATTTCCTCTCGTGATGAGAGTCTGTAGACCAACTGATACGCAGGGTTGGGTTAAATATATTTCCTCTCGTGTGAGAGTCTCGATGCCTACTGATCATTTCTCCTGACACGCCATAGGGGGTGCTCTTGCAGTGCGTAGGAGGAAGCAC